ATGCATCATGTCCCTACTAGGTCGAAAGCTAAAGAACTCCGGCTTATCAACTTGATGGGCATTCCTCAAATGTCCAGCTAAGCCCTTCCTGCCAATGTGGGTTTGGCATAGGGGACAAAGGAACATCTTAGGTGGTTGAGGGACTTCAGCTGGTGCTTGAGTCAACATGGCTTGGACTGTGTCGACACGAGGCTTCTTGGAGGTCCGGGCAGGCCCGGATGCAGTAGTCCCTGTGTCATGGTCATGTGACAACATGTGCTTTTCCAGGCCTGTCGATGTCAGGAAGCTACTATGGCATCGTTGACAAACAAAAATGGTTGGTTGCAGTGAGGGCAATGCTTCATCCATGGGTGCATCACAGACTGACGGCGGTGCACACGAAGCTGAGGGAGCAGGAGAATCATGAAGGTCACCTGACAAATGTGGCGATGGAACTGCAGGGATCGATCTGGACTGCGCTGAGGCAGGCTTGGGGTCACTTCTGGAGGCCTTCATCATTACAGGCATGACCGGAAAGTGTTCAGGTTGGAAGGTGTAACCCAACATCGCTGACAGTTGAAACAGGACCCCACATTCATGACTGCGGACATTGCGGCACTCCTTATCACAAAAGTTACAGCGGCCACGACCACTGCCAATATTGGCGAGACCAACGACATGTGCAGCATATTGGGCAGCATGTGCAACCATCTGCGGATGCTGATCTGTGTAGTGCTTATGGATGGATCGGGCAGCTATCTGGCAATGACAAAAAGCGCAATGGCAAGACAGTTCCTTAATGAGAGCTTGATTCAACAACAATCCCGGGATCGACTTGTGACGTAGGTGCATCTTCAGATCAGGTCGCGCCACAATCGGAATGATCATCTCCTGAGCCGGGTTGAATGAGGTGCAGACCCTTCGATTAATGTGATCCCTCAATCTATAAAAATCCACAAATGAATGAGAGCAGTGTGAACAGATTGGACGACCGTTCCAGGCGTCTCGCAAGGGATTATATAGATCATCCGGTTCACAAGGGATGGTGTGTGCTTGTCTCATGTGGCGTTTAAGGGCTCCCACCTGCTTGAATGCTCGATGGCACTCCGGGCACTGAAGTTCCTGAGTGAGCTGAGGATCCGGTGTGTCGACCGGCATGGTAAGGTCGCTCGGCCATACATCTGGGGTGCAGGCACATATGTCAGGTGAGTCTTCAGTCATGGCTTCCAGTCGAAGTTTGATAGCACGGCGATGCAAGGCTTGTTTGATCCTATGTTGTTGTTGTTGAAGCTGGGTCCAAGGCGGATTGAGATGAAGTCGGTCGAAGAAACTTTGCGTCGATTCGTGTGTCAGACAAACAGGGGACTTAGTCATAATCCTATGATGTGTATTGATCATGCTTACAAGTCTGGCCAGACCTCGACGAGTGATCCCCATTTCATGGATGCCATAGCTGACAGTGGCCATAACACATTGACGATACAGCTTTAATCGGATCGCAAGTGGGTGAACCGTGCTGGTAAGCCAAGACCTAATTTGGGTGAAGCACCACTTAGCAGCTGCAATCCGTCTCATGGTTGAATCAAAATCGAAGGCACGATAACTCAGAAACACTCCAAGATAGGCTGTTTTAGACACGAGGGGCAAGCGCCAGAGTTTCTCCGGCAAGATCAGCTCTGGGCCATCCGGTTTTCGATGTACCCAACGACGTAGGAAGCTAGGAGCTTCGCGACCAACCAATCGGATTATGGCAAAGCTCTTTTGCATGTTAATCTTGAGACCAAATGCACTAAATGTATCCAGTACATGTTGAAGCTCAGTTAAGGCCTCAAGTGCATGGGGTGTGGATTCAATGATCCAACGGAGGTGAACATCGTCTGCATAGACAACTATGTGGTCGCGGAGCCATGCAAGCGAGTACCTAGCCTTAAGGTCTAGGAGGATGGCGCTCATCACAAGGGTCCAAAGCAATGGGGCGTCTTTAGATCCCTGTTTAATGCCCCTGCAGGCAGTGACATGTCCAATCAATTGCTTGAAAGGAATGCAATACTTGTGGGGGGCCAACCATGAATGGATCAATCGCAGAGCATCTACATCGAACTGGTATTGATCGAGCGCTTGAAGGACCAAGGATCTGGCTACCGTGTCGAAGGCCTTTGCCATATCTAAGGAGATCTGCAACCCTCCCTGCATACCCGGTGCATTGGGACTCGAACGAAAGTGGCTACATGTGTTGCGAACTTGTCTGCAATGGGAAGCCACAATGAGCAGGCAGTCACGAGTCCCCCGGGAAGGTAGGTAGGCGTACAACGGCAGTTGTCTCAAAGTAGGAAAGGCCTGAGACAAGATTAGACGACATTGTAGGCCAGCGAAGACCTTGCTAACAGGGTGTTGGAGACATATGGGTCTTAGTGCCTGTGGCTTGGACGGGGTTTTGTTGGGTTTGGGAAGAAGAAAGATCCACCCCGTGGTCCAATGTGGTGGTGGTTGTATTCTAGATCCCATCCAGCATTCAACAAACGTGTTCATGATAGGCTCGGCAAGGTCAGTGTCAAAATGCTTCCACACCAGAGCTGGTATGCCGTCGGGTGCAAGGGCCTTTGTACCAGGCAGTGCTCTCAGGGCTTCAGTCAAGGCCTGGCGGTCGAATGGGGCTACGGTGATAGGGTCAGTGTTAAACTGTGGTTGGTGATCATCTGAGTACAAGGCAGTATAGTATTGTTCAATCTGTTGTATCTCCTGGGTCGGAGACAAAGGCATGCCATGTGGATCGTACATCTGAATACGACGAAGCCGTTGCTTAGGGCAGAGCTGGCGAATCTTGCGATACCATTCAAACGTGTGGCCATGCAGGGCCAGATTAGCCCCTGCCGCAAGAATGGTTTCCAGTTTCTGACGTCGATTAGCTCGACTAAACTGCCTGATCTGTTTGTGACATCCCAAATAGGTCGTTACATGTTTCCAACATCTAAATAAGGATCCCAACGATTGGCCTCGGATGCGAAGGGCCTCTCTACGTGCATTCCACATCCTGGAGGAAATGGACAGGAGCTGAGAGGGAACGGATCGAGGAGAATGTCGTTTGGGGAAGTGTTGAATACACAGTGCACGCAGTTGGGTTTCAAGTTCAAGCATACAATCCTGAGCAGGGCGGTCAGGGATGGAAGTCAAGTCATTGATCAGCTGACGTGCACGATCCTCGAAACAAACCCACTGGTCCAACTGCGCATGGTATGCATGTCTCATGGCAAATCTATCAATCCTATTGAGCGGAAAGTGAGCCGGCTGAGGGGCATGCCACTGCGGAAGGGTCACCAGCAAGGGATGATGATGAGGTCCACTAATACCAAAGTTCCTCTCGAATTGAGTGTTCGTGAGCGGCTTCATGCGTCGGTATCGAACCTGTTGTTGTCGAATCAGAATGTAATCAATGCGAGAGGCATGAGCACCATGAGAGAATGTGTTTTGGTAACCCCCTTTACAGTTAACGGCAATCAGGTCCTGAGATCTCAGAATTTGCTGCAAGACATGGCTGTCCTTGTGCACATTAGGTAGTCTTCTGGGGTCTTCCGTTCCAACAAAAGGTGGATCAGCACGAAGAACAGTATTGAAGTCTCCAAGAACAATTAAGTAATGGGCCTTGGGAATATGATTCAAACAGTTTTGAAGTGCTAGCCACAACTGTTGCCGTTTTTAAAGGAGGGGTTGAGAGCCTTGACATGGATTCCAAGCATGTTGATAAACAATGAGAAAATCAATCGTGCGCTTAAGAAATATCCGCACATGCATAAGGCGTCCTTCAATCAAGGTGGCCGTGGCCAATCGATCTGCTGGAGCGAGGTGGACACGTACCATCAACAAAACGGAGGCCTGTTTGCAAGCCGAATGTGTGTAGTGCCATTCGGAGGTGTTCCATGTAGCCGAGAAACGCCATCCCGTCTCTTGTATGGCCAAAACGGTTGAGTGGAAGCCCAAATTAGTAGCCATCATAGACCAATGCTTTCGAGGTATTCCAGGTCATGCAGCGGATGCCAGGTGCAGTGGAGTATGGCGTCAACGCCTTCCGAGCAATCGGCAGTTGTCTAAAGGACTCACGGAACCTCCATGGGACATCTGTGGAGAAGAACATCTTCCCTCGGTACTCAGCCATACCATGGCGTAAGGCCCTATAGCATGCTCTTTGGTATGCGCGGTTAATGTGCAGAATGCGCGGCCGGGCAAAGATGAGGTCGTAGCCACCAAAAGCCCATACCTCATGTAACTTCGTGGAAGGAAAAGGTATATCCACCGGATAACCTCCACTCTCGCTCAGAGCAGAGGAACTCTGAGCAACCCTCACGCCAAATATGGAAGCAGGTTTAAAAGGGATAGCATCAGCTCGCATATCCCCCGGAATTAGGACCGGGAAATCCAGTTCGGTTTTCAGTAGAAAAATAACGGCAGCCAGAAAGAAAGGAGGCCAGTGCACCATCACAAAAACAAGGTCGCAAAATTCATAGCACACCGCCCCAAAGCGGCCGTGGCTCTTGAACTGGAAATAACGCTTTAACAAATATTATTTATTGCTAATATATTATAAATTTCAAAAGGCAAATTTCATAATAAATACAATTTATTATTAATTTCAATATAATATTCTATAATTATCAAAAAATAATTTTCGTCCCAAACACATATTCGTTTTAATCTACAAAATATTTCATTTATTCTATCATTTATGTAAAAATTCCTTCACTCCCCCATTTTCATCCTTTCACTCATCATCACAATCTCCATCTTCATCATCTCTCTAGACCCCAATACATCTACAATCATCTAAATCTTGAGATTTTCTACTACTACACCTCTAGACAATTTTCTTTATATATTTACAACCTATAAAAGTATATAATTATATATCATAAACATATAGATAATAAACTAAATAATACCGAATTCATTTCTGTTTGTATTTCTTGTGTATTAAACTATATTCATATAAAACGCGATTAAGATTCATTTCACATTTAAAATATACATTTATACATCATTCTATTTTTTAAGTTACAAAGCAACCAACACCCAAGCTTATTGCCCTTGTTGGTGTTGGGTGTATGTCTTCAGAAATTCAACATCCCCTTCGATGTTGAAATGGTCTGCACCTTCAAAAGCAGGAGGAGTTGAATCCCCGTCACTCCTCCCTACACCTCCCTTCGCAAAGGAGTCACACCCCTCCACTTGCCCATGGCACTATGACTGATCACATTTGTCCTTAGGGCAATCTTTCCTCAGACCCAAAACAGGAAAGTTCAGCGTGCACGGGCAAAACACGCATCAACTTTGAGATGGCATCTGCATCTTGATTAAGCCTACATTGTACAAATTGTGCAGGCTGAGCACTGCACGCGAGGCTAGTCTACCATAATGCTGCAGACTCTCTTGCAGCTGTCAACGCCACTGGAACGCCAACTTTCACATGAGGGTATCTTGGATTTGCTTAAGGCGCTCGAAATCCAACATAGTCCAACCACTTCAAGAAGTCCTGTGGTGTTCTGTGGTTCTGTGGTTTTGCCCCCCCCACGGAGCGTCCCCAGCCGAGAACGACTTGGATACAAGAATTAGCTGCATCTCAACATCCTCAATGACACTAGCAGCTGCATCTTGGAACCCTCCAAGTCAAGATAGGAAGGCACAACGTGCAGCTTCAACCAAATCCTCCAACATCAGACAGTTTAAAGATGCTTAAAGTACCTTGAAGAAGCGTGCTTGTTCAAGGAAAGCGAGGAAGCACTCACTTCGCTGCCGGTGTTTGCTTGATAGTCCCGTCAGCAAAACATACCTCTTCAGGGCACGCAAACGAGTCCCAAGCAATCCACAATTCCCTTCTATTCTTTTTGTCGATAATGTTAGGAACAAGAAGCTACTAGGGGCTTGTGGCCTTACTACTAGGAATAACGAAGCTACTAGGGGCTCCAGGCCTTACTACTAGGAACAAAGAAGCTACTAGGAACAATTCCCTTATGTCTCTTCTTTTCATTCCAGTTTTACCATTCCGTAATCGTACATCTCCGATTGGTCCAGTTTTCGAACGGTTCAGGAGAGAACAGGTCTAAAGGTCCAATCAAAAAAAGACAAAGAAAAAACAAGAAAACAAAAAAGTAAAAACACCTACTAGCAATGGCCTCCAACCTAGAAGAGAGAAAGAAAAAAGGAAAGAAAGAAAAGAAAGGAAAGAAAACAACAGCATCTTTCAGAGCGGCCAATGGGATCTTCAGCAAGTAAAATTGGCAATTTAGTAGCAAGGTGTATCTCAAGTATGAAGCAAATGTGCTAGGAGCAAGGACGCTACTAGGGACTCCTGGCATCGCTACTAGGTGCATTCGTACTACAAGGAACAAGAAGCTATTAGGAACAAGTGCATCGCTACTAGTAACAAGTGCCTTACTAGTAGTAACAAGAAGCTACTAGGGCTGGCAGCGCCCTAGACCTTCACATCGACCCTCACAGCTCACATCCCCACACCCTTCGAGAATCCGCCTCTTCCGATCCATCCGAGAAAATCTTCTTGGTGGTCCCATTGGGGAAGCCTTGGCACGTTTTCAATCCAAGCCGATGAACAAATGAAAGGTTGCTCTTTCTGAAGTGTCTTCTCAAGTATCTTGAAGCGGTTTCCCATTCTGAGAATGCAAAAAAGAGAAGTCGTATGTTCCTAGTAGCGATGTTACTTCTTGTTCCTAGTAGCTTCTTGCTCCTAGTAGTAAGGCCAGGAGCTATTAGCAGCGTCCTTGCTCCTAGTAGCGATGTTTCCAGATTCTTTCGAAAGGTTCGTTCATTCTCTTTTCTCCTCCGCTGTCCTCTCAGTGATTCCAAACCACGCAAGTTGGCCGGTCTTGAGCTTAACTGAACAACTTGTTTTTGCTCTTTCAAGAGAACACTCTCTTTTAAGACATCTACTTAATTGAAGCAAGCTATACTATATATGTATGTGTTTAACGCATCACTGATTTGGTTCCTAGATGTTTCTAGACACTTAACTTCTACACCTTTTCCGCCTTTTCCTTTTTCCTTCCTTTCTGTCTTTCTTTCCTGCCATTTACCAGAAGCCTGTTCAAGAGGCTTTGGGTGGACACCAAATTGGCTGCTGATGCGATGAGTTGTCTGGCAGTCGGTTCGCTTCATGTCCCGCATTCCTTGAAACCTTGTTGTCCGACACACTTACGTATCAGACTTTGCAATAATTATCTTGTCCAATTGGCGGTTGCCAAAAAAAACATAGTAGAGGCCAAAACCTAAGACCTCGCACAACCATGGCCATTAGTATTAGTAATTAGTAATTATTAGTATTCGCAAGGATTTTGGCTCTTAATTTTAAAAGGCTTCATGTCCGTCAAACTAGGAAACCGATCTCTACCCTTTCCTTGCTGCTAAGAGCTTCCTCTCTTTAATGACTTGCCTTAGTGGTTACTACTCACGCTACCTGGCCCTACTCTCGTTTCCACCCCTCTTCAGGGCCTCCGCAGTAGCGTCCTTGCTCCTAGTAGAAATGCCCGTTGTTACTAGTAGCTTCTTGCTCCCAGTATCTCCCAGTAGCGATGCCAGGAGCCGGCTGCCGCTTACATGCCATCACATGCGCGCATTCTTCTGCGCTTCCACAACTCTAAACCCGCCAGGTGGACAGTTGAGTCAATTGCTCTGTGCCGCTTTTTGACCAGGGTCGTTTCAGGCCGGCCAGGTTGGAACTTTCATGTTATTGTCCACATGTTGTGAACCCTCTGCCTCAAACCACCCCACCTGGTGTACTGCACAACTCATAGAATCTGGAACTTCGCCAAGCATCGGATCTCTTTGGAGCCGTCGAGACCTGAGGTGAGCATCTTTGTCCAACACAAAGGAACCTAATAGCGAAATAAACCAAAGAGCGATGGCCTCCAACCTGCCAATCAAGCAATAAATCTTTATGAACATTAAACGATATCAACCCCCTTAACCACTGACAGCTTCTTGGAATCTTCTTCTCCTTTCCCTTCATCTCCATCACGGCTTTGTGGACTTGTTTAAACATGTTTGCCAATGACCTTCACCCACATTGAACCGCCAAGTTGGACCATATTGAGAGGCAACAACTCATATTAACACAGGGCAAACAAAAATCAAGGTACAAACACGTCGTGGAGCATGGCGGGATTTCGAGCAAACACGGCCTCCTAACATGAGGCCACGCTCAGCTGATCCAACATGAACCCCAAACACTAAGCAACGTCATCCTGAGATGGTGAACACTGTTACCTCACTGTTGAAGTGTGTTCAACACTCAAAGCTCAACATTCCATCGTAACAAGCTACACATTGCCTCAGATTGCATCCAACCCCACTTGGTGTATACCTGGAAGATTGGACCACTGCCGGTTCCGCTGCGGAGACAAAGAGACAGCTCTGCGTAAGATCTCGTGACAGTCACGAGCGTCACTCAGCTGTGTGGGAAAACAACAAAGTTAAAACTTAAAACAGTTCTTGGCAGCATTTGGTCTAACTCTAAGAGCAACAAGGACGCTACTAGGGGCTCCTGGCCTCGCTACTAGGATCAAGGACGCTATTAGGGGCTCCTGGCCTTACTACTGGGAACAAGAAGCTACCTTTTGTTTATTGGCCGAAATGGGATTGTTCACTGTGGTGGCCACCTGTGTGATCGATGTCCATCTGCTTATCCAAAACTGGTCTTCATGACGCGAGCAGAAGTTTAAGTGTCACCTCAATTCTAGGAAACCCCTAGTACCTAGTAACGCTACTAGTAACAAGTGCATCGCTACTAGTAACAAGTGCATTACTACTAGGAGCAAATAGCTACTAGTAGCGATGCCCTTTGCTCCTAGTAGCGTCCTTGCTCCTAGCACACGAAAAGTGCGAGGGCTTTCCGTCCAAGCCTCAGAAACCACTTAAAACGAGAGTTGCCCCTTACGTGTTGACTTGTAGGCTCCTAGCTAAGGACGCCCACCCCCCGCGGACAAAGAAAACAACGCACAAAAATCTGAGAACCCCTGCTGTGGCACTCGGTCTGGCCATCGCTGAACCTGGAAAACCAGGAACCCCTAGTAGCGTCCTTGCTCCTAGTAGTAAGGCCAGGAGCTCCTAGTAGCTTCTTGTTCCTAGTAGCGATGCCAGGAGTCCCTAGTAGCGTCCTTGCAACTTTACAACTAAAAACACTTCCCAATGTCAAGTTTGAGGTCCACAACTACGAAGGCTCCGACCGATCGCAGGTTTTGGAAGTCTCTATATGGGTCAAGTCCTTTGGACCAAAAAACGAGTGAACTGCACACTTTTTGTGGATAAACCACAATTAAACAAAAGGACAATCAGAAGATCCTTCCTATTAGGTTGGAGGCCATGCTTAGGGCTCCATGAGCGTGTGAAGGATTGCCCACCTTCACACGCTTTAGGTGTGACACCCTAGCCGGGCGCGTTTCATGGGACGCGGCTTGGCGTTGGTGGCTTTTGTTTTCCTCGGCCTTTTTCTGGATCATAGTGGCTCTGGAAGCCGCGTGGCATCGGAATCGCCGGAGGAGGCGACAGAGGGCGCGCGCTTTGTTGCGGAGGTTCAAGAACAGGGGTGCTGGAAAGAAGGTGCGCAAAAAAATTGCAACCTATCGAAGCATCCTGCATCGGCATCACGGGTCCATGCCTCCCGCGACGATGAGTCAAAAGCAGTGGATGTGCCGGAAGTGTTGGGTAACAACACCCATGAGTGTGTTGTACTGCCATTCATGTCATTCATGGTGGCAGACAGTGCTTCATACTCAATCGCGCTCCAAGTCCAGGAAGAGGAAGATCGAGGAGAACAAGCAGAAGCCCAAGAAAGGAGACGACAAAGAGAGTCAAGAGAACGTGCTCTGCCTTACGCCCTTCTCCAGTCGGAAGAAAGGGGGCAAAGAGCTCGCGGGTGTGCCATGGGTGCAGACCACGCCATCGACCAGAATCGCTGTGGAAACAGTCGAGGCACAGGGGGAGGACCTACCTTTGCCCCCAGCGCCAGAATTGCCACAGCCACCAGATCCACCGGAGATCCCAGCCGAGGTTCGTGCCAAGGTGGAAGAAGTGAAAAAGACCTTGGGTCCTGCATACAATCAGGAGATCGAGGCAAAGATCTTGGAGTCGGCAGCAAGTCAGTTGGCTCAGCCGGCCAAAGCAGAAATTACTCATGGAGACTTGAACAAGATCTCACAGGCAAAGAAGCAATACCTCAAAGCCAAAGAGGATGTTGCCAAAATAGACAAGGATTGGTTGCATTTTGCAAAGACGATCCAAGCAGCATATGTGCGAGAGCAAGCTGCGTACAAGGAGCAAAGGGCCGAAGCTATCAAGGAGCTGCAGTTGAAGAAGGACAAGTTGAGGGAGCTGCAGGATGCAGTACGACGCTCAGCGCTGTCTCAATTTGGCGACCAGGAGGAAGTGCCGCTAGCTGTAGCAGAAGATGTGTACCCTTTGCCGCAGGACGAGCTGGAGGAAATGGTCTCCGACGAAGAGCTCTTGGCCGAGACAGAGGTCAAGGTGTCCGGGAGTTTTATCCATGCTCCGCAGCCATTTGGGAGATTGGCACCTTCTCCTACGAGAAAGGCGGAGAAGCAAGAGGGTCGCCAATCCAAGAAGCCGAAGAATCAAAATGCTGTTGCCAGTGGGGAGCCAGGGTCCTAGTCGAGGAGTTCGTCTTTAAGAAGAGCTATGTGGTCTTGGGCACGACTACTTATAGAGTTCTATGTCCGAATTGGAATTGGATTGGGATGAGTCATTTGGCGCCTTTTTTGGCTGACTATGACTGCAAGCCAGTTCGAGTTCTTCAGTTCACTTTTTCCTGGTTCCCTGGTAAGCGGCTTTTTCCAACCGGTTTAGATGGTCTTGGGTATAAAGATTACGGGTGGTTAGTGGATGGTCACCCTGGGTCTGCCAAGTCCAGTGCATTTCAGGAATTGTGTGTTAGTAGTAGTGCCGTAAGTGCCTGCTCTTCGTACACACGAGCGCAAGTAGAGGCTTGCCTTTCGAGTGAAAACAGCATTTTGCAAGCATGGTGGTTCTGCCATGGCTGGGCATTCACTCAGGGTAACGAGCCACAATCTCGGCCCGAAAGCTATAATCTTTCGGGTACATCAGCCAATGATCGAAAGATTGCTGAGGTTCAATGGGAATTGCTAATCATTAAGATTTGCTTCGATTGTGCAACTGTGATCGCAGGTCTGTTGATGGGTCTCAAGCGCATTCTCAGATTGTGTTGTGTTCCTTGCATCAGGCGTAAAAGAATGGTGGTGGTCAAGGGCAGTAGGCATCAGGTTGTGGTGCAACGCAAGCCTCGAGTCCCCGTACGCTTGATCGTGTTCATGATTTATCTGATTTTGACCGATGCTCAGTTGATGGACCCTAGAAATGGTTCACATGACAAAGGCATTGGTGGCCAATCTCCCCAAGAAGTTAGAGTGCAACAGGAGTCACCGGCTACTAGAGTTGTACTAGGCAACCAAGCTGTCTGGGCCAGTATTGTTGGTGCCATTCAAAGTGATCTTGTGCCGGTGGTTGTTCACTCGCCTGATAGGATCCAGCAATTTCACATTCCACGGACCGACCTAGTCGATGTGGAGTGGCCACAAAAGTTCATTGCGTGTGACGTGGCCGCGGGGAGTTGGAATTTGTGGCCTGTGACGCCACAGCCCAGTTCAGAATGCTGTGCCTTAGTGCTTGCAGAGCACGGGTCAAGTGAAATCCCAATCATGATAGGCTTGGACTGCCAGGTGTGTGTAGTTCCCAGAGGCCAAGCAATTCATACTGCAGTGCCAGGTGAAGCGGCCAGACTTGAACAAGCCGCTACAGGTTATTGGTATCGGCATGGAGTGCTTAGTGATTCGTCTGTGCTGATGCAAACACATGTCGGGTTCACTCAAAGTGATAGTTTTAGATGGCATCAGTGTATCCCGACTAACAAACCACTATCCGTCAAGGTTTGGAAGCATAGCCATCTAGTTGCTAACCGTTTCCTATCAGAGCATAGGTTCGCTAGGGTCTGTGTAGGACAATGCCTGCAATCAGTCATAGTTCGTGACTTTGACGAGTGGATACAAGGTCGTGACTTTGCAGTGCAGCTCGTCGTCTTACATGCCAGGTGGACGAGGGGCTGTCAAGTTATCCTGCACACCAGGTCCGCGTTTCCTTTGATCCCTATTCTGGTGAGAGTGACCAGAGATTTTGAGGTTCGTGTTGGCACGATTCTCTTTCGTGAAGGATGGGATGACTTCCGTGTCAAGACACTGTTTGATAAGATCGATCCAGTCAGTGATTGTGTTAATCAATATGAGTGCTTTGTACGTGAAGGTGACAATATTTGGCATTGGAACCAAATTTTTCGTCCTATTCATGGAAGATCTTACGACGTTTTCCTGAGGGAATTACAAGCATTAGTCTCCAGTTCCAACAGCACATGTACGTCTCTTGGGACACAGGGGGATGGTTCGTTACAGCTGGCAGCGAGTTCATGCGGATCGATGCAGCGTGAAGACCGAGACTACAGTGATGGCAGTGAGGATTTGCATCAAGGTCGGGAGAACACTGCAACCCGACGCGACAATGGTAGTTTGTTGGATGTCGGAGAAGAGAGTCATGATCAGGTCATGTTAATGCAGAGAACGCTGACCGAGCCAGCTGGAATGGGAACGAGTAGTACAACGGGAGGCTATGGTGGAGCAATGGATGGGGCAAACACTGCAACCCCGAGGAATATAGACGGAACGAATGTGCACTTCCAGTGGGCTAGAGTCTTACAGGCCAGTCGAAATCAACAATCCCTTCAACCAGTTGTTAACTTTGCAACACCGAATTTCGTGCGTGCAGATCAGCTGCGACAATGGATTCGGGATGCTCAATGGATTTGAGCCTGAGCAAGAGATCATTATGCTAGCGGTGTGGAGGTTTCACTTTGCACTGCCAATAGTATATGATTGTGATAGGGTCATGTTGCATGAGGACAATTGGTCTAAAGTTTTTCGCGCTTACTGGAAAGTGACTGACGACTTCAGGGTGCCTCGTGTGGCAGCAGTTATGCCGCAGCCTCCTAGGATCGATAATTTAGAGCCAGTACAGCTCCATGTCTTGGCTTTTGAAAACCGCAAGGTTCCGAATGACCAAATGATGCATTTGTTCGACATATGGCAAACCGATGACATTGGCGTTGCTACTGGTCGGACATTTGTAGCCAGAAGGGCAATTAGATGTCCCAGGACGGCCACCGTGCATGAAATTGGTTTGATGTTGCAGATTGATCAGTTGATATACCATGCTAAGACCGCAGTAGTGATTTTTTCACTCAAGAATGGTGCACAGAGAATGATCTTCAGATCTGATCAGGAAATTCGAGTTCCTGATTTCTCTTATTTGGACCTTGTACTCTTAAAAGACAAGGAACAATGTTTGCATACCGAATGGCAGGCGCCCAGCAACAGGCCAGCCAGTATGGGTATTCAACAGATCGAGGGAAACACTGCAACCTCGGACAATTCAGTGGCAGTCGGAAGTGGAGAACAGGAAGGAATTAGCCTTATGCAGATATTTGCGGCTTCTGGTTCTGGGATGTTTACCAGAGACCTGTTGCAGCATAGGGTGTGGAGCCGCCGCCTGATACAGACTGCACCACCAGAAGTGCATTGGGCTGATTTCCGAGCATTTGTTTCCAGAACGACCAATATAGTTGACTTTGCAGGCATGCAGCAAGAGTCAATGGCAATTTGTAGGACAGGAGCAGATGTGGTCACTTTCACATTGGGGCATGCCACCACGGGGCTTGAACATTCTTGGGCGTGGCCTTGCCACCTCCCAATTTTTGATTTTCAGGACCTTGTGAGTCAATTGAGGTTTGAGATGTGGGATGATGCTGACATTGAAAGTGAGTTCACGGCAGCTCATGTCTTCCCGCAAGTGACTCCTCGAGAGTCCGATCATGCCGACGTGATCTACATGGTGGGAGCAGTGGAAGGACACACTGAGATGGTTCCGATCCTCATCGTGGTATGGACAATGCTAGAAGATGGATATCACGTTG